ACACTCACGCCAATGACTGCAACGCGATACCCCTTCTCGATTAGTCGTACTAGCTTCGACGGATCCTTGAAGACGCGCCGTATGTACTCCATTATGAAGTACAGTGCGGTGTGCAACGCAGTTGCACACCATTACGCTAGTACGCTTCATCATGTCGACACTCGATGCTAGGTATAATTCTGACAACAACAGCAAATTTGAAGTGGAGATACAGCCAACGCATGCAGACGATTATCTAACATCTGGATATCATATTACGTTTAGACTATGCCAATCAGACAAAGAACCTGTAAGTCTCATAACTCTAGTGTGCGGTGGCACTGCACTCGTTTCAAACAAGGACCTGGTAGTTTTTATGATCGTAACTTATCGTATTTCACGAGCGACCTTAAGAGGTCCCATCGGCAGAAACATATATGACGAGAATATTAGTAAGAAGGATGTCATACATATCCGCGGTAACCGTGTTGCCACTAAAAGCGAAAGCGTTGTCGTGATCAGCAACGTCGAGTTCATGCAAGCCTAAGGTTTCAAATCGTATAGTATCAAAGTCACGGGACTAACATAATACATAGGTCCTGGGTATACCCTAACATTTAAAACGATGGTATAATGTCCCCTCTTCTCCGCTAGCCGCCTTGGTCTTGACAGATTTCCGAAGGCATACTACGTATAGTTCGTTGCGCCTCACGTCATGGCGTGCAACAGCGTTGCACGAAGCTACGCTAGCATATCCCGACATGCAGACATTGGATAACGAGCGCAACCTCAGTGGAGGGGACAGGTTCGAAATGACAGTGAGGACAAGACTGGTCGAGGGTATACCTGCCCAATGTCACATGGAGCTAGAATTATGTCAACATTCTATCCGAGAGTCTGTACCAGCCCTAACTCTTGACTGCTGGGCTGATATACATATTCTAGGTAAAGATCTGATTGCTTATACGATTAAAGGCGATCATGTTATTCAAGCAAGTTTGAGGTCGCCTCTCGGCAAGCAGATATATGACGAGTATATCGGTAAAAAGAACCTCGTATGTATTTACGGCAGCCGGGGTACTGAAAGCGAAGCTGGAATCACACTTACCGACATTATGTTTTCTGATGCTCCACTATCGAGCTACGTGATATCCGAACTATGGCGCTAGCACGATGAACAGCTTCTGAACACGTCTTGTATTTTTAAAATAACGGTTAGTATCCAATCGTTGCAGTTCCATGTGTCATCTCTGCAGTTAGTATCCAATCATTTGTGAGAGAAGAAACAGTTGGCATCACCGGCTCTCCCGACATCATTTCTGCAGATTCAAACCTAAGTTTGAAGTAGCCTGTAAGAGTCATCGGTACCCAGACGTTTGCTGAATGAAAATTGGCGTTTACACTAGTTCTCATGTC